CCTAAATCACACTTCTCCAGGTGGAGTTCTCTGAGGCTTAGCTATTTAATTTGGAGATTTCCCAGATAACAGTGTCATTTGAATCAGCTGGATGTTTTAAACTAGCGTCTTAGTCTCCTCTGCGAATTTATGGATTCAGCAGGTCTCACTTGGAGCTTGAGAATTCACATTTCTGGTGCTATCGCCTGTGGCTGCTGCTGCTGGTCAGCAGATTGCACTTGGAGTATGCACGGGCCAAGAGCACATCTTAGGGGACATCAGGAAACAGGTTCTGGGACGTCCGTGTGTCAGTCTGGACACTCTCTGAGGTCTCCAGCAGGTGAAGGAGAATCTACAGCCCCAGCTTTCTTCCTGGGGTCCACCCTTGGCGGGTCACATCCTCAATGCCTTCAGAGCATGGAAATTCATTCCCATTTCCCTTTCCTGGTTCTTGGTTCTGCCTCCTCCCTCTGTGGATGTGGCTGTCCCCTCTCCTGAAGATGCATTCTCTCCAGACTGCAGAGTCCTGCTGTCTTCTGCTCTGCTCTCTTCTCTGAGAATCCACCCTGCAAATAAAAGTGAGCATGTCTGTGGGTTCCTGTTTCTCTGTTTCCCTGTCCTCAGTAACACACCAGGCTTTGCACATCTCCAGGACGCTGCTTTTGGTGGCAACAACCAAGAAAACCAGCTTGACACAAGGAGGAAATGGTTTCATCTCACATCTGTCTCACTCCGGGGAGGAGTGACATGGTTGTCAGTCCCGTGTAGTGCTGTGTCTGAGGCAGCACACGGAGACAGTTAAATATTTATTTTGCCCCTGCATCTGCAACGTGTGCAGGGCTGGTGGGGACAGCTCACTTCTGCTTTTGCTGTGGGAACTCAAGCCTGGGGATGGAGTTGGTAGGGCCTCCCGGTGGCTGCTTGTTCTCCCTGCAGCAGGTGGGTTCTGTCTGAGACTGGACAAGAACCCAGTTCCAGTAGGACACAGAAGCAACTGTCATCCCATGGTGATGACTCTTGGAGGCCCACTGGGTCACATCAGCTATATTGTCCTTATTAGAAGTAAGAAACCAGGACTATCTCATATTCAGAGAGGAAAGTTTTTAAATCCAGCATTTGTGAGGTAGAAGCAGGATTACTGTGAATCCAAGGTCAGTCTGGCATGCACAGTAAGTTCTAGGCTGGCCTGGGCTGTACAACGAGGCCCTGTCTCACAGCAACAACAAAAAGTACAAAAGGAACTGCCATCAGCCAGCTGACCTGATCTTCTTGCGTCATGTAACTCATGTTCCCACGTCCTCTCCTAGGCACGATGATGGTCTGCTGGAAGTCGTCGGAGTGTACGGGTCTTTCCACTGCGCTCAGATTCAAGTGAAGCTGGCAAACCCTTTCCGCATAGGACAGGCACACATAGTGTGGGTAGGTAGCTTGCGAAGCCCTTCCTCACAGGGGTTTGTGGTCCTTGCTGTGGGTTACCCTGCAACAGGGGCTTACAGGGTGGGGAGGAAACAGGAGAGGAGGTCCTCAATCCAGCTGAAGAAACAAAGTGTCCACTGAAAATGAATCCCTAGACAACTCGTGAATTAGGATGTATTCAGATTGCTTTTGTACAGTCAAAATGCATGGTGGGCTCGGTGGCACACTCCTGTCATCCCGGCAGTCAGAAGGCTGAGGCAAGAGTGTTGTCATTAGACTTCCAGGCTAACCTGAGATTCATAGTGAATTCAAACCCAGCCTTGAGAGATCCTGTCTTCAAAAAACAACCAATAAGTACACAAATGCAGCAGGGTTAGGAGCGCACAGCCGACACCAGCAAAGCCCTCTCTGAACGTTCCTGGGCTGCCCTTCTTCTAATACTCGTTTCCTGCCCCCAGCTGATCTTGAAGTGCTCCATGATGCCAATGCAGGTGGATGGGGAGCCGTGGGCCCAGGGGCCGTGCACTGTCACCATAACGCACAAGACACATGCTTTGATGCTTTATTTCTCTGGAGAACAGACGGATGATGACATCTCCAGTGCCTCGGATCAAGAGGATGGAAGGGAAGCTGAATACACAGCTGAAGACCCGCAAGTTTAGTGTACTGTCCACACAAACCAGAGCTACACGCTCATCCGGAAGAGGAATCCTGTACCAGCTGTTCATTCTTCACTCCCCCCACTCCACCCGCCCACTGCAGCTTCACTGGAATCTGAGCGCAGTGGAAAGGCCCGCACACTCCAACGACTTGCAGCAGACCATCATCGTGGGTGGGAGAGGACGTGGGAACATGAGTTACATGACGCAAGAAGATCAGGTCAGCCAGCTGACGCCAGTTCCTTTTGCTCGGGGGTGGGAAGATCCTTTCTCTTGTCACTTTTAATGTGGTGGCGCCATGCCATGTTAAAAGCCAGTTTGCTCATTGTGAAAGAAAATGGTTCCTTTTAACCAGCATGGTTTACGCTGGGCATCCTGTAGCAGTGGCCGCTGAAGATTTACGGTGCCCCAGACCAGTGGATCCTTACATCTGACTTCCAGAAAACCCCTGGAGGAGGAGTCCAAGGGAAAAGTGAAACTTAAAATGTTTAAAGCTTCCAGTTTTCTTTTCATGGTGCTGTAGGTTAAACACAGAGACCTGTGGGTTTTAGGTAAGGGCTGTACACTGAGCTATACCCCAGACCCAGGATCTTTTTCTATATCAAAAGAGATCCACATAGGTGAACTGTTCTAAAATAATATTAGGAGCACTTTGAATAGAAAGTTACTGGTTCCAAACAATCAGATACTTTCTCAAAGTCAAAGGTGAGTCATGTTTTCAAGGTTCAGTAATCTTGCCATACTTTGGAATACAGAGAGTAGTCTTTTATGTCTGAAGTACTTGACAAAATATCCCCTTGGGGAAGGTAAGTGGACAGAAGCCTCTGATAAAATGTTTCTATCATATTTATTTTAAAGTGAAAAAGAGATCTATATTTTTAATTTGTTCATTATTTATTGTGGTATAAGACTTGTGTTCAGTGTTTACACTGGTATTATATAGCTTTATTTAGTAAGTTAAATTGGTCACACAAATGGTGCAACTGCTACTCCCCACCAGACAGTTACATCCTGACTCAGTTCCCCTGACAGATGCATTACCAAGGTGTCCTCACTCCTCAGGGTGCAGGGAGGGCATGAAAAGTACTGACACCTACTGCTTTTGGAAGACTACAAGCTATGTTTCTCTTCTGTTTGACCCTGGATTGCTGAATGCTTCTTGGAGGCTGGTTCCGTGGCCTTCCACTAGAGGGCGCACTGCTACCGGTGTCAGCAGGCAGCCCTGTCCCTGCAGCCTGGCACACCCAGGGGGTCTGCCCTGGAGCTTTTCTGACAGATGGCCCCTTTGTGAGCTTGGTGGCTTTCACGATGAAATTACTGTAATCTCTGGGAGATGACAGTGTAACCTCCAAAACACCATGAGCCTCTTTGAAGGGTTCGTTATGAAGCTGTCACCCACAAATTGGCATAAACTCCAAATGTGAGTCACCTCAGGCTGTAAATGTGTGCCGTTCCCAGTGCATCATATAGGATGCTTTTAGTTTGCTCGATTAGCCCCTTCCAGATCTCCACAGAAGATGCTAACGGCCAGGGTTTGACAGGCTTTGTTCCCAAGTCTGTTTTCAGCTGATTCCTGCTCGCAGAAGTGGTGGAAGAGTTTTTGTCCATTTTCTTTCATGAGATGATCATGTTTTGAGCATAGTGAGATTTATCCTTTAATTCATAATCAAAATAGTTACAAATACCATATTTCATAAATACAGCATCATATCGGCTTTGCTGTGGGCTGTACTATGCCCAAAACTTGTAGTGCTAATTAATTGCAGTAGGAACAAAGTAAGTAGTTTGGGAAGTAAGAACTCAACCGAAAACGACATAGGTTTTTTTAACTGCTGAAACTACTCTAACCACAGTGTTACACTGGATTTAGGACAGGTTAGTGTACAATGCCTTCATTTATTTAAACAAATTGATTTTTCAGTTGTAATTTGGTGAAGTATTTTCTTTTCCTACTGGCCTTTCATGAAGTTTTTCTGCTGCCTTATTCAATCAGACCTAATTTTTCTGTAGGAAAATTATGTCAGATTCTGTGTCATAAAACATGATATTATCTTGTTTCAGCAAAATTCGTCTACCTTTTTAGGTACTATTTACCTAGCATTTCTGATAAATATACAGGCATGTGCCTTGTTTAAATGAATACAATATTTACGACTTCATGTTCTCAAGTTATATATTAGGGTAGTAATTGTTTATATTACCAGGGATCCTATACATTATAAGATGATTTATTGTAAAAGTTTTCCATTCAAAATTGTCTTGATATTAAGTAACGTCTACAGATTCCCAGGAAGGACTATAAGAAGTAAATCTTATTTGCTATGTTTCCACATTTCTCTCATCTTTAACTGCCCTAATATATTCCTAACTCCTATAACTTAGTGGCTTAAATAGTGAAAACCTGGCAGCTCGTTAGGTGATAAGAAATTTTTTCAGTGCTAGAAGTCAAGTGGCCTTGTGTTTTACAACACAAGGTGTCTATTAAGATGACATAGTTTAAGCATATTAGAGGGTTTTTTGCAACTACTTACTCTGTGTCCATTGTTTATAAAAATTTTAGAGTCAAAATTATTTGTCTTTATCCTTTTGGTGTGTCAAAAACATGCACTTGCTTTTCGAATTACATTTGTCTACTTATGCTTATAAACTCAGAAAATTGCAGTCTTTTTTACACTGTAACAATGAATACTACCAGCATGTAAAAGAAAAATAATTTGCATTTGTAATGTAAACTAAAATTGTAGCTAATGTATGTAATGTGTGTAAATATTTAATTTTCCCTAACCAAGAAACTTTAGTGGTTATTGTAATTTAGAGATTAAAACGCACCTGAATGCGTAATTAGGACAAAACAGTCAGTACAATAGGTGACGGATTAAGGCAGCTTTCCTTCAAAATGATAATAATGAAGGAAAAAAGCAGCTGTTTGCAGTAGAAATACTACTTTGTTTTTAAAGTTTATCCAATTTAGGGCAGTGGAAATGTTAGATTTTTTTTTTAAGAGCAAAAATATTTATTGAGAGAAAGAAAGCCTCTGTCTGTGATAGAGAAAGATGGAAGGGTTCCTAGGTGGGTTGCATAGATTTATTTTTTAAATCTAGAAATTTAAAAAAAAAATTTTGTTCTGTCCCATTGAACCAAAGGTAAACAGCAACAAGTCAGGAAAAGTGCAGTTTTGCTTTTAAAACGTGCGCCTCTGCCTCCCCGATACCTGCCAGAGGACTGTCTCCTCTGCGCAGCGTTGGAAGCCGGCGGCCAGCTGGGCAGGGTGGGGCACTCGCCTGTTATTCCCACACTCTGAGGCTGCTGCGAGTTTGACCCAGCCAGGACCCCGTGTCCAAAAACCAAACAAACAAACAAAAAGCACCACGTAGGCTGGTGGCGGAGCCCAGCTCTGCCTCTGGAGAGGATACGCAGGAGTTCCGGTTTGTGTTAATAGGCGCCCAGGCCATTCTGCTGCACGCTTAAATCCAAATTGGAAAGCCGATGGTGTGGCCAGGAGAATGCCTTGCACAGAGATTCAGTTAATCGGATGCTCAGGTCGGTCTTCCCTCTCTCTGCCAGCTGCTGTCTCCCCCACAACTGTCCTTCAGTCTTTTCATCCAAATTAATGTATTTGCTGTTGTGCAAAAACTGGTAGCTGCAGTTTGTGCGTGGAACTGGAATCTAGTCTGCTCATGGTGAGGAGCTGCTTTGGGGCTCAAAGAGGGGGACCCCAAGGGATCACACAAAGGGGTGTGAGCTGGGAGGCTCTACCCCGCCTCCCTCTGGCCCTGCAGCCCATGGGTGCCAGGTGCAGCTCAAGATTGCAGCAGCTAAAACACTTCCTCCATTTGAAAGTGACTCTACTCCTTTTGAGTTTGTTGTTGTTTGCTTTTGTTTCTGAAACAGAGTCTTACTATATAGTCCAGGCTGGCCTTGAACTCACGGTGTAGCTCAGGCTGGCTGAGAACTCTGGGTGATCCTCCTGCCTCAGCCTTCCAAGTGCTGCGATTACAGGTGTGAGCCACCTTGGCAGGCTACCTCTACTATTTCTTTGAAAGGGTTCGGGAGCCACTACTTTAATGACTCTTGTCACCTGTTTGATTTTCTGTTGATTTTACATTTGCAGACACCTCGTGTTCATTGTTGAAAAAACTACTCTAGAAGTCTCAGTGCTGCTTGGAATGTGGCCACTTGACCACTGCACAGGTTTTAAGGGCATTTTGTTGCAGACTAAAGCAGCACCCTTAGGCTCTTTTCCTATTTATAATTTTAGTGTAGAAGTGACCTGTGTATTTAACTGATTTTTATGTAAATACATATTTAGTCCAGTAGTGCTGACAGTATAGTCAGTGAATGAGGCTTGCAGGTCTCATAAAGGTACATTCCAAGATTCTGGGGAGAGGACTTTGAAAGTCTGCACTAATACATAATTTGGTGGGACTGAATGCTGCCCTTGGAGACAGAGGCCAGCGGGCACCAAGGGCTCGGCAGCCACCTGAGGGCACTTCTGTGGAAGGCAGAGTGCGCTGAACAGGAAAGGAGCTGCCCTCTCGAGGACTTCCGTCCTGTACTTTTTGGTGATTGGTGAATCTTGAGAAGGGACAACTGGAAAGTGAGATGGTTTCCTTACTCCTCAGGCAGTGTCCAGGCAAGTGGACAGCCTGAAGGATGAGCAGAGTGGCTGAGACCAGTCCCAAGACACTCATCGTCGTCACAGTTGGAAGAGGCTTCTGGGAACCTTGGGCTTCGTGTTCACTTCCCAGCTGCACACACGAGCGCCCCAGGAGCACTGCGGTCAGAGTGCGCCAGGGTCGGGATCCTTTCCTGTGAGCCCAGCACGGCTTGCTCAGTCCCTCGGCTCGGCTCCCGGCTCTCCAGAGGCTGCAGCCGGAGCTCTGCACCATGCGACGACTCCGCCTGAGTGGCCGCTGCCTCCTGTGGCCCCCAGCTCTGGCCACTGTGCTCGCAGCCCCGCTTTACCCCGCGTCCATCGCTTTCCTCATGCTGGGTCTGTGTTGTGGTCACTGCCTGTACACAGAACTGCGGGTCGAAGCCCTGGATATGTTGAAGGTGTTTACTTATTTTTAATAAAATTGAAAGTGCAGCACTCAAAGCATACGGCCCTGTGTTGTTGTCTAGCCCCGCTGAGAGAAAATAAAGAGCTCGGGTCATTTCCCCAGTGGTCCTTGGTGCACAGCAGTGCCCCATAGCCTGGAGCACCACTGTGCACAGGTTAGGAAAAACGCACCTCCTCATTTTTGCACATGGTGCCTGGCATAGCTGGACAGAAAATGGAGTGAAATCAGTCAGTGCGGAAAGAGGTGGAAGCCCCAGTGCCCTCTCTGGCAGGCGTCGGGCAGGTCGATTGCTCTGCCTGTGCCTCAGTTGTCCTGCACCAAAGCACAGTGTGTTCCCCTGGGGATGCAGCCTCAGTGGCCTGCAGGAGCTGGCAGGTAAAGGCAGGCGCTGAGGGCCTGGGAACCAGACTGTGCTACCTGGGGACCCTGCCCAGCACCCAGAGAGCTGATTTTTGTAGGGGGAAAAAAGACTTTTTATACAAATTGTACGCTGGACATGGTGGCATGTGGCTATGATCCCACCACACAAGAGGCCAAGGCAGGAGGATTGATGTGAGTTTGAGGCCATCCTGGCCTACACAGTGAGTTCAAAACCAGTCTCAACTACACAGGAAGACCCTTTCTCAAAAAAAAAAGTTTCTTTACTAATGTACTGGACCCTTGGCTCATACACTGGATGCTTTTACTTTAGTGTAACTTTTTATCAGTAGTACTAGAGATTGACCTCTGGGATCCTGTGCCGTTGAGCTTCCCACAGCCATTTTTATCCTATGTGACGAGGTTCTACCAAGTTGCCCAGGCTGGCATCAAAGCTTTGTCCTCCTCCAGCCTCAGCAGTCCACACAACAGGGACTGCAGATGTGCTGGAACACACACAGCTGAGCTCTGCTTAAACACAGCCACTTCCTGTAGAGGGCAGGAGCCTCTCTGCAGTGACTTTCCCTTCCTTATTAATGAGGAAGCTCTCAATAAATGATGCAAGAGCCCTGCTTTAAGTACAGATCATCGGTTAGTGCCAAAGCTCACCTCAAGGCCATGACTCAGGCAGGTGCAATCCGAGAGAGAGGCCAAGAGATAAGAGCAGGGAGAGCCCATTATTTCAAGATCAGCAGGATATCATGTCACCTGGAATACACCAACAGAACCATATGGCCGGGACTCGGTGGCATGGCGTTTATAGAACATCTGACAATGAGTCGATTTCACGTCAAGCAGTCCCCTCACAGACCCAACTGAGCACACAGCACAGACACAATTTCTGCTTTCCCAATACATGTGCCGCGATGGAGAATGGTTAATGACATTCCAGCATCGGATGGGTTTGTAGTTCCCTTCCTTTCTCCCCCTCTGAGATGCTCCATCCTCTGCATAGGCCAGGCTTTCTGGCCTCTGTTAGGTCACAAGCTGCCCCGTAAGGGGTTGGCTACAGCTATCACTGCCTCCTCACTCTCCCCTCCTCCACGCTGGCAGCTTAGCATTGGAGGACAGGACTTTGGCTCCAGCTCCAGGGATGAACAATTAAGAATCAGTAATCCAAGTGCTGCGGTCCACACCCATCACCCAACTGCTAGGGGTAAGGCAGAAGGAGCTCAAGTTCAAGGCCAACGGGGCATTTTCGAAAGACCCTATCTTAAACTATAAAGGGCTGGGGATAGAGCTAAGCAGGAGGCCCTTGGGGCTCCATCCTCACCACTGGGAAAAAATAAAACAACCTGAACACAAGACACCAGTCCTAGCTGGACATGGCAGGCATGGTGGTACCACCTGGTGCTGCACTCGCCCAGCTGGCTACGTTTACCTGCCTCTGGTTTCTATTCTGAGTCAGCCACAAGCCCACAGGGAGCTTAGTAACCAGGTGTGGATGAGCTGGTGGCAGAGAAACACTTCAGGGAAAAGGAAAGTGATACTGAGCCTGTGCTCCAAGGAAATGCCGACCTGGAAAATTCAAAGAACGTCATACCATGGGGAGACACCGTGAAGCCAAGGCTGACGTGGGCAGTGAATAGGGAAGTAGCGAACGGGCGAATTTGAGTCTTCAGGGCCAACATGTGTCAGCCTGAAGCCTGTGAACTCCGGGCAGCTGGGTATAAAATGCCATTTGCAGCTGGGCTCTGAGGAACAGCAGCTGAGCTTGGTTTTAGACACAGGACTGTGAAGTGGCACAGGGACACACAGGTAGAACTGCTAGGGTGGCACAGCAAGGGGTTGCTTGAGGAAGAGCCGGCGCAATGATGTATTACTTGCAATCCCAGCTCTGGGAGGCTGAGACAGGAGAACTACGGAGAGTTCAAGGCCACCCTGAACTACACAGCAAGACTGTGGTCTCAGAAAACAAAACATTAGGAGCAGCTCGGACATAGGCTGCAGGGGGTTAGACACAGGAAGTCCAGTTCAACAGAGCAGAAACAGAGGTGGAAATGAGCCATTCATGAGGAAGACTGGCAGGCAGAGATGCAGACAGACACCTACAGGGTAGAGTTCCACGGGCTCTCAAGATTTGGAGCCTTAGGTGGATGAATTTGTTCAGTATTTATTGTTCATACTCTGCGGGTAATGGAAATAGGGAGTCAAGCTCACTCACACATGCTTAGCCCAGGCCAAACCCTGAGTCAGGAAAGTCAGAAGGACCTTTTGTAAAATGCAATGATTATTAGCAGCTGAGGATGAGCGTCAGTGGCAGAGCACCTGCCTATATGTATGACTCCTAGGTTTGATCCCCAGTACCAGAAAACAATATTTTTAGTAAATTTAATTTTTCTATAGACAGCAAAAGGCATAACCCCAGAGGTACCAGGTCCCACGATTTTGTCTCACACACTGAAAATCACACCTGCAAAGCAAAAGAGGCCTGGTGTCTGCAGCACGACTGGGGTGGCCCAGGTCTGAGGAGCTGACCCTGTGCCCTGATGTGAGGTGGCCCGAGTGGGGAGCCCTCAGGGCATGAGACACCATCCTGTGACAGCCACTGGGCATGGCAAACATGAAACACCACAGCTGCTTCCAGCCCTGCCTGCCTTGTACAGCAAAGGATCCCAGGGCATCCTGACAGGGTCCAGAGAAGCAGAAACCCTGAGACTACTGCCCATGTGGAGCTGGGCTCTGAGCTTAGCAGGTTGGCGTGGTCTCAGACACAGGACTGTGGACCGGCCTGGGCACATTCAGGGAGACAGGATTGATTGTGTTAATTGTGGAGGGGGTGCTAGGACTGGGTGTACAAGTGACAGTGTGTGGTCCTAAGCTCTGGTCTTGGCTGTGTAACTCAGTGTGTGCTGTAGTGCCCACAGCTGTGCCACAAACTACCTGAAAACGTAGGCATGAAAATAGCATTTGTTGTGCAAACCCATGTTTATAGGAGGACAATTCATAATAGCTAAACCTGATGAAGCAGCCCATATGCCCATCAGCAGATGACTACATAAAGAAACCTGGAATGGTAAGGAGAACTACTCTGCCAACATAGGACACATGGGTCATTTGCAGGTAAATGATGCACCTTGGAACCATAATTTTTTGCTTTTGTTTTAGATAGAGTACCTCTATATAGTCCAAGCTGGCCTCAGACTACTGAGGATCCTCCTGTGTCAGCCTCACAAGTGCTAGGATTACTGATACGGACTACCCTAGGTAAAGCCATAATGTTAAGTAAAATAAATCAGACATGAGCTTAAATATCACATGGCATGGTTTCTTTCTTCCTTTCTTTCTTTCTTTCTTTCTTTCTTTCTTTCTTGCTTTCTTTCTTTTTTTTTTTTTTAACAAGGTCTCACTATGAGGTTACGGCTGGCCTTGAACTCACTACCTAGCCCAGAGGCTGGCCTCGAATTTTTGACCATCTTCTGCCTCAGCCTCCCAAGTGCTAGGATTACAGACCTGTACCACCACGTCCTGCTGAACATATTCAATATGTAAGAGCCACATTTCTCTTTCTGAGAATCCCAAAATGTAAAGAACAAAATAAAAGCAGGGTAATAGGAAGTAGGCAGATAAGTCTTTCTTAAATGAGAGAGAGAAGAAGAAAAGATGGGGGAGGTAAAGGGAAAAAAGAGGTAGGGACGAAAAGGAGTAACAAGGTCTTCTGTGTGCAAACCAAACCACACAAGGACAGAGACCCACACTGCAAACGTGCACCAATGGAAAGAGAAGTTCTACTAAGCCAGAGATAAATAAAACAATAGCGCCGTATTGGTTCTTTTCTGAGTTTGCAGTCTGGGAAGTGCACTTTTCAATGAGTCTCCTGCAGCTCAGAGGCTTGGGGGGGTGAGCAGGGGCTGCCACTCGCTGCCCACTCTCCAGCAGGGAACCTCAGAGGCTACATGTCACTTCCACTGGATCTGCATGCCAAGCCAGTGACCAAGCTGCCCTGCTGGCCTGCCCTGCACGGCCAGGTGCTGGAAGTGCATGTGGGCCCCGCAGCTGTGCGCTGCTCCCCTGTGTGCTGGGATCACAGGCCCACACCCTGAGCCTGTTTCCTTATCTATAAGAGGAGATATGAAGGAAGCACTAAGTTAAGAAGCTACCCATCAAAGGCGTGTGTAGGGAGACACCTGAAATTCCAGCTACTCAGGACAGGGTGATCCAGAGTTTAAACCCAACCTGGACTATCTAGCAAGACCCTGTCTCCAAAAATTTTTGAAAAAGATAAAAAGAAGCTGGCTGTGGAAGCACATACCTGTAATCCCAGCACTCAGCACGCTGAGGCAGAAGGATCACTGTGAACTCTAACACCAGCCTTAACTATATTTACCAAAACTGTCTTAAAAACTAAATGTTATTTTGTTAAAGAAGCATTTATTTGGCTTGACATTTTAAGAATTTAGTTTCTGAGCTGCGCATGGCAGTACACACCTATAACCCTGGCACTCAGGGCATTGGGGCAAAAGGATCACTTTGAGTTCAAGGCCAGCCTAGACACATAAAGAGTTCAGGGCCAGCCTGAACTACGAAAGACTGCCAAAAGAAATAAATAAAATAATTAATTCTTTAAAAATTTAGTTTCTGGGAGTGCGGCTGTGGCTACTGCTGCAGCTGGAGGTGG